GTGCGTGAGTGATGCGCGCGCGCAAGAGGCGCGCGGCCGCGACCGACGCAAATGCGGACGCGCGCCGGCCGCTGGGCTGGGCACTCCGCGGGAAGGGCGTCAGCGGCCAGGCGTGGGCGCGGGCACGGGCGCAGGCCGCCGCACCTGTCCGGCCAGTCCTGCTTGAGGATCTGGACCAGCACCATGTTGAGCTTGCCCATGAACACAGACTCCGCCCTGCGCACGGACGCACGGACGAGGCGGCAGGGAGGGCCGCCTTGTGACATCCGCGCCGCGCAGGGGGCCTGCGCCACCCACGGGCTGCACTGACGAGCATGGCGGCGCCCGCACTGCTCAGCCAGCGCGACCCGTCCCTGTCCCGTGCGCGCGGCCGCGCAGCCCCGGCGCCCACCGCCGGCCGGCAGGCTCCCTCCCAGATGCAACGGCCCGCCCCGTCCGCCCGCCGAGCCCGCCGCCTGCGTCCGTCCGCCCACGCCCCTCATGCCAATGGCCCGCTTGCCAGGCGCCGCCCACCTGAAGAGCTGCTCATTGGTGGCGTACTTTATGATGAGGTTGCTCACGTAGTTCTTCACGCCCTCGCGCTGCTCCACTGGCAGCGCGCCCCAGCGGAACTTGATGACGGACTCCAAGATCTGTGTTTTGGTTGGGGGGCAGGGCAGGGCAGGGTGTACGGGGGCGTTCCACGCGGGATGACGGGCGGTCGAGCACGGGGCGGGGCAAAACGGTCACGCCATGCAATTAATCGGGGAAACCAGCGGGGCTGCGACAAAGCGACCGCGACGCCGAGACCAGTGCTGCCGCCGGACGCGTACACGGGACGATTGCCGCGAGATCGCGGCAGCGGGCGCTCGCGGAAAGCTGGGCTGCATTGGATTTTCAACTCGGGGGGCCCAGAGCAGCGCCTGCCAGCGCGACCAACCACCACAGGGGTGCGAGCGCCCGCCAGGCTGCCTGCTGCACAGCGCTGTGCATACTCAAACCGCATGCGCGCTCTCCTCGCACAAGCTACTGCTACTGCACCTCCTGGTGCCGCAGCCGCAAGGATGCCGCAGTCCACCGCCGCCGTTTGCGGCGCCCCCCGCACCTGCAATGCAAAGAACTTGGTCTGCTGCGTCTGCGCCTTCTCCAGAATGCTGTCCACGCGACTCCATGCATCGGGGTGGTCCTGGTATGCCTTCAGAGCCTTCTCAGCGCTCGCGCGCTGCGGGAGCGGGCGCGGCGTGTGGGGCGGCAGGCGGCGCGGGCGCAAAACCGGCAGGGCATGATGAGGTTTGAGTGCGCGAGGTGTGCGGATTTTGTGTTGCTGTACACGGCGGGGGCGGGGGCGGGCACACGTGCGGTGGTTCTGATGATGATCCCGCAGCCTACCGTGCACCATCACCTGCACTGCTGCCAACGCAACCGCATGTACATGCACATGCGCCTGCCGGACACTGGTTGCTGCTTAGGCGTTCGCGCCGCACATCAGCAGCAGCGCCCACCTGGTCCTGTGTCCCTGCACCGTAAAACTGTGCCACGAGGGCCTCAAGTTGGGGCACATCCACGGCGTTCAGGTCCAGCGTGGCTGCCATCGTGCTCCAGCAGGTGAGTGTGGTGGGCCCCTGCGAGCAGATCCGCGCCCCTCGGGCTCGCCCCAGGCAACGACGTATGTCCTATTTTCTACGTATCGAAGGCCCTAATCGTAATCACGGCCTGATCACAACCTGCCAGCGTGCAGGCCTAGCACATACGGTGAACAGCGCGTTGTTGGTCGCTATATCAAAGCTAACAATCTCAACCCCCGATCCCACACGAAACTGTGATGTTGGGCCTGCTGCGAATCAGAGCGGCCTTCGCGTTCGGAGTCCGGTGCCGAAACCTGTGGGAGTGGCTGAGCAGGCTGAGAAAGACACTTGATGCGTGGACAGCGAGAGTGCGCGGGCACCCCTCGTGCGCCCTGCACAGCACCCAGCGCCTGGCGTCGACGGGGTCGACAACGGCGGGACGATGAGAAATCGCCTCACCACCTGCTAAGCGCGCCTGCCTGACGTGAATTTCAATGCATGTAGCACAGAACTGGACGTTGAGCTGTGCAAACCACATAGCCACGACGGCAGGGTCGGGGCCAGCTCCCATAGGATTGTCCGACACACGTGTGAGTTGGGACCGGGCACCGCTCGCAACTGAGGCGCCAGTGCCAGTGTCCACCTGTGGCTGCTAATGACAACATCCTCACTAGCAGAAGTAGTTGCTGTGCTGAAAACAAGCTGACACATGGGCGGGCCCGTTGATCAGTAACTGGACAGTGGGGATGATTCGAACCGGCATGCCGCGTTGCATCTGCAGGAGACTTGCCGTCCATCCCGCCCCCGTGGCCCTTAACTGAAGTCAGTTTGCATCGCAGCGCACCCCTGAACACTGCGCATCAGTGGGCGGCGCCGTGACAAGAAGTGGGCATGCTGGATCCCAAAATGCAGACCGTCACATGCGCCCGGTGGCTCTTTACAGACCAATACAGCGCCGTGTGCACATCAGCACTCATGAGCTCCCTGTTCAACCTGTAGTGCAGCCAGGGGGACGGAATGATCATGTGCCCGCCGCCGAAGCAGGTAATTGAACGGTGAGATGAGTCCACTGGATGAGTCGCTCGTCTGCTCCTCGGTCATAGCATCGCCGCGGGCCCAGCGGGGCCTTGATGCCTTCACGCGTGTCCAAACGCGTCCTGGGTGGCATGGTTGCGCGAACACACGATAATCAGAGGTCTGCCCGTCCGGCCCTTTCTCGCGCAGATCGTCTGATCACCGAAACCAGCCAGAAAGCGCCGCAGGCTTGCATAAGAGGTGCTAACAAAAAAACATGCACATGCTATGATAATACTGCTTTAGCCGAAGCGGAAGCCTGCTAGCTTCATCAGAGTTGGTCGAGGGCAGAGCACCAGGCGCAGCACATACAGCGTGTGCTGCCACACTGCAAACATCGCCAGGGGATCCAGCAAGTCGGTGGATCAAGCGACTGGTATGGGCAAGCCGAAGGCAAAAGGCGGCGGCGAAGCAGGCAACAGGTGGGTCGCGAAAAGCGTGCAGCAGCGGCCCGAAATCGATACAACAGCTCCCTAGCCACAAGCCCGCGAGATGGGTCCTGCCACGTTACACACGCGTGGCGCTGATGCGTGATCCCAGTGGCGGTGCTGGCGGCGGGGCTCTAGGGGCCTGCAGCCAGGTCAAGGTCAGGCACATCCTGTGCGAGAAGCATAGCAAGGTAGGGCCAGGGCAGCACGCCCAGGCTGTCCCCTCTCCCCCCCCCTTAACCGACACTTGTTGAGGGGCCGGCAGAGAAACGACCAGGCAAAAGCCTGCGGACGCAGCCCAGGGTTACGGCTGATGCTGCCCCAGGTGTGCGCGACGCCGTGCGCAAACGTTCTGCCACCTCGGCTGCACCGCAGGTCATGGAGGCGCTCTCGAAGATCCAAGCCGGGGATAAGTTTGACCAGGTCAGAGCCTGCAGGGGCAAGCGCACTGTCGCGGAGGACGCAGCGAACGCTGCAGCATGCATCTCCCAAGGCGTTCTGCCCCGCCGTGGCGGCCTTGTTCCGACCCCATTGGGGATTGCGAACCTACTGATGTTTCGGGCAGGTCGCCAGCACTTACAGCGAGGACGCAGCCAGGAAAGGGGGAGACCTTGGTTGGAAGCGCAAGAACGAGCTTGTAGGCCCCTTTGCAGAAGCCGCTTTCAAGCTGCAGGTGCGGGGTCAGTGGTAGCGTGATACCGCAGCTGGTTTGAAAGAGAACATCGGTGTTGTGTTGGGAGCTTGCGTCTGGGGTGCACGCCTTTGCTGCAAGGCGGTGGGGTGCATAAAGCGGACAACCCTTTAGTGGTCGTAATGGTCGTAAAGATCTTATCGGTGGGAAGCTGGCTGCCGCCCCTCGCTGCGACCTGCCTGCCCCTCTTTTGTCCCGGGCTAGTTGCAGGCGTCCTGCGCCTGCTCTCACGGCCTTTATCCTTGCGTAAGTGACGTGCGCCCCTCTTGCCCTCTGATGTTGAATTGTTGCAGGTTGGGGAGATGACATCAGCACCTGTCAAGTCACAGTTTGGGTACCATCTGATCCTGTGCGAGGGGCGAAAGGCATGAGGGGCCCAACCTGTCTGAGTCTCGCGCTGCGCCTGGTCAGGGCTTTTCAATGAAGCATGGCACCAACTCCTGGCAGCGTGGCACCCCACGACCACAGCCAACTTTCCAGTACATGCCAAGGCTTCGTGAGGTTGACTTCAGCGCTACATGCAACTTCAGCGTCCTGTGAAACACAACAACACCCGGACCGACAGCTGCAGACACTAAGGAGGATTGCAGGCATGAATGAAGCAAGATTTGTGAACGGCACACACCCAATCCGCGAGTTAACAACCATTAATACATTTGCGTGTGTAGATTGCAGGGGGCGAGCGCAGCACCCCGCGGACACAATCGTTGTGGATGGTGCGGCGGGGTTTGTTTGCGGCACGGGCTTTGCACGTGAAAGCAGCACCAACAGTGCGTGGTCCTTTTCGTGTGGCAGGACTGTGCTATATACAGGTGTCCGAATCTGGGTTTGCCCCGAGAAAATGTGAGCCATCCTTTGTGTTTGCCGGCGTCTCGGAAGCATCGGCAGTTTCCCACACCGGTCAGTCCGCTGTCGCGGTCAACACCCACCGCTGCCTGTGTGTGGCGACTGGAGAAGAGCATCTCTTATGTATGCGATATGAACACACGCATCAAACCTGCAAGCTGTGCAGCGTGCGCGCATCGCAGAAGCAGCTGGCCGTTGCGTGTCTGCTGTGCGCGTTGTCAACCGCGCACGCGCCTTCTCACGGTCGGTGAGGCGGGGCCACCGGCTGTCCCGCTTGGAACGAACATCCTTCAATACCACTGATTCGCGGCCGAGAAAGGGTCGACGGGAAGTTCTATGCCAGAGTCATATCACGGAGCGAAATTACTCTTTTGGCGTCACCCGCTGGGGGTGAGTGAGCGCGATTCACGCGGAAGCCGGGCTCCGAAAGGTCCCATTTACGGTAGCAGGTATTATCGGCACACTTGCGGTTTTGGTTACTTGATACCCCTGCCAAACAGCGAAGCTTGAGAAGGATTCACAGGAAGTGCTCAGCACGCGTAAAACGCCCACAGGTGTACGGGTGAACCTCATTAATTTTAGTGCTGTGGAGCTATTAATCAAAGAAAGCCCCACAATTACCGGGCAGAGGCCATCAGCACCTCCTGACCCGGCGCCGCTGCGAGCGCACAGCGCCCCGAGAGGAAGCCGGCAAGAAGGCGCGACAATGGCGTCCCTCCACGCCTCCCTGATGACGGCCTGCGGGCTGTCCCACCCCCAGCTGCGCGCCCAGGCGCACTGGACCGTCGCCACGGTCTGCGCGGCGCTGCTTGTCCGCAAGGTGGCCCGCCTGGAGTGCACCAACCCCGCCGCTGCAGCCGGTGCCGGCGTCGGCGCCGGCGACGCGTGGGTCTGTGCCGCGCGCGGCGCGCTGGGCGGGCGCCTGGGCCCGGCCCCGAGCGTGGGCCTGCTCTTGCTGGGCGGCCTGGCCGTGCTGGCGCTCCTGGGTTACCTGCTGTGGCGCGTGGTTCGCAAGGCGCCCGTCTACATCCTCGATTTCGCGGTGTACAACCCAGACCCCAGGTGAGGACGGGTGCCTGTGCGGTTTTGGGAGCTTGCGGCAGGCTTGTTGCTTGGACGTGCGCGTCGGCCTGGGGCGCCTGCGGGTGATGGGCGTGAAGGGCAAGAGCTGGGCAGCAGTGCCAGCACCTGCTGGGTTTCCCGTATCTCCTCGTCACTCTTTCAGGCCCCTGTCGTGCCACTCACCTCACACGCGCACGCCCCGCCCCACCC